ACTTTTATTAACACATAAAAGCAGATTGTATTCATATATACACACCTCTCTTAAGAGTATTTACAACATGAGGAGCCCGTGGATGGTACACATGTATAAAAATATGCATTACATCTATAGAAATATGTACACAATGTGCAAAACGTATGGCATTCCAACAGGAGGCGTGGCATGGGTCAGTAAATCAAGATGGCCGACATCAGCTGATCTGCTCAGATATGAAAAAGCATTTCTGCCTCAGAAGAAGAACGCAGAGAGTGACGGAGCAGCTGTTATTGCTTTGCGTCGTCCTCGCCTGCTGCAGATCGCCTGGTCCGCAGGAAGTCAACCAGGTGTCCAAACTTGTGGCGCCGGGACCAAAAATGTCTCAGAGTGTCAAACGTTTTAGTGTTTTTGCAAAAAGTCTTTCATGTTTTGATTTTTTCCTGAATTTGAATGACAGCAGTCATATTTCAAGCAAGTGATAAAGTATTGCAGATTTAAAACAATCTTTTTTTAAAAATTGTACCCAAATTTTTTCAAGTTGATCATATTTTTCAATATTTTTGTCTATTTATGGCTCTTTCTTTATTTTGAAAAGTCTACAATTTAGTCAAAGAGATGGTACAAATCAATTTTAAACTTATGCAGTTTTTCCAATTTAATATCAACATTTTCTGTGTGTTTTTGAAACTTTGTTTTAAATCTGTTCAAAATCTGGACACCTGACCTCTGGCAAAAGGTTCCAAGGGCCACAACCGGCCCCCGAGCCGCACTTTGGACACCCTCAAGTAAACAGGAGAAAGAGTGACAGGAAATCCTCAAAGTCATCCAACCAATCAGAGGAGAAAAGAAGTAAACAGCTGCTCGATGAGTTTGGAATAAAACCACAGCAAGGTGATGAAGAGGAGGAAACCGACCAATCAGGTTAGAGCAGATGGTCGCCCTCTAGTGTTCGTCTACAGAACTGCAGGAAATTTACCTGCAGCTCAACATTCAGGTAAGAAAATGTGGTGTGGCAGACCCAACATGGCAACCCGGTGACCCAACATGGCAACCCGGTGGTTCTGTTAGCTGGACCCAAAACATGCAGAGAAAGACGGACATGCAGAGGAACATGGCTGCTCCTAACGGTGACATGCTTCCCACACACACACACACACACACACACACACACCACACACACACACACACACACACACACACACACACACACACACACACACAGAAACAAAAGTATTCAAACTTCTCCTGCTGTCACAGTACAACCACTAACTACAGTAGTTTGTTCACAGGTTCATTTGTTTGTTAAAACGATAAAATGAGTTGATATGTTTTCTAATAATTTTCTTAGCAACAGATTAAAAATGTCAAGTTTTGTTTTTTAACCTTGTGGAACATTTTATGTTCTTCCATCAAGCATTTGACTGAAGACCAACAGAGACGAGTCGTTTTCCACACTTCACCATCTGCAAATTATGGATCTGATCAACTGGTCTTTCAATGCAATTGATCAGATTTTGGGTAAAAGACAGGCTGCTTGTCCTGGCTGGACGGACTCATTTGGACCCATGATGGGACGCCTGGCTCAGACTGACATGCTGTGGGACAGACGCAGGTTGGATGCCAGTGGGAAGGACTCCATCGTGGAGAAGTTGCCAGTTTCGGTTCGGCAGGAAAACCAACAATGATCTGGATCAGGATCTGGATCTGGATCTGGATCAGGATCAGGATCAGGATCAGGATCTGGATCAGGATCTGGATCAGGATCTGGATCTGGATCTGGATCAGGATCAGGATCAGGATCTGGATCTGGATCTGGATCAGGATCAGGATCTGGATCTGGATCAGGATCAGGATCTGTAGTGACCAGAGGAGAACCGGTGGGACGGCCAGCCTGAAGCCTTTGGTCTAAGTCTGAACCGGATCCCTGCGGTTCTGGAGGATCCTCCTGGTTCTGGACCGTCTTTCGGTTCCTGCCGCCGTGTTGTTGTTCTTGCCAATGTCTCCTGATGAACTCTGACCCCTGTGGCTGTCGCTGCCTCGTGTCTGAATGGTTTTAGTTCATCACTTTTAGAAAGTGGAGTAATTATTACTTTAGTTTGATCAGAACAAGACGAGTTTTTGTCTCTTTTGGTTTGAATAAATTAAAGATTCTTGTGTTTTTTTCCTGTTGATCAGGATAAAAAATGTTTTTTCTTCACATTTAAGAACAAAAAGTTTCATTTTGCTTTAGATTGTAAAATATTAACAGAAATGTTTGATGGAAGAACAATTGATCATATTGCATTTTATGCTTCCCTTTATTGTGATTTACTGTCATGACTTTTCCCTCATAATTATATTATTTTTCCACAAGAAAAATAAAAACTTTGAAACACTTCAGATGTGTGTTTTCCTTGCTCTTGACGTTGAACCCGAGGCGTTCTGGCAGGTCAGACACGGTGGTGGCAGCATGATGCCTCTCAGGTCTGGACCCGCTCAGATTGGATCTGGAAAACTGACCGTCCAGAACTTTGATCCCAGAGAAACCGGCTGCAGCTGCAGAGGGCGTGAAAACTTTGGCAGGAAATCCCCCTGCAGGCCACCGTAGCTTTGACTTTCTACTGGTCGCCTCGCAATGAAGCCAACCGGGTCACCAGAACCTGCGGCACCAGAACCTTCTCCGGTTTCTCATCAGCTGCCGTTTTTGGGTCGGCGTCTTTAGAACTACATTCAGTTGGTGAGCGGACCGCCGTGTCTCCATGGGTTTGTTCTGAGGGGAAGCGGCGCCTTTAGTGCATAGTTCTGATCCAGACGGACGAGACGGGCGGTTCTGACGGGACCAAACTGAACCGGACCGGGTGGGAGAACTCAGAAGAACCGGCGGCTCTGTCCGGGTCCAAACCGTATTTACAGGAACCTTCCTCCTCGTCTTCATTTGGTTCCAGTAGAATCCTGCAGCCCGTTTGGGTCGGCGGTTCTGGTCGGGTCAGTCGAAGTGCAGCTGCATGTCATGCGGCTCCAGGAACTCGGCGGGGAACCCGGCGGGCCCCGGGGGGCCGGGGCCGTCCAGCCACTCCATGCTGTCCAGGTTGGAGTCGAACAGCGCCAGGCCCAGCGCCGACCCGGCCGGGTCGGAGAAGGACGGGTCCGTGGTATCCATGGGAACGAACGGGTCGGCCAGCTGGCTCCGCAGCTCCTCCATCAAGCCCCGGGTCCGCGGGTCCGACGCCGTCTCCGCCAGCGTCCGCTCCAAGAAGGCCTCCAGCTGGCCGTCCAGAACCGGCTGGTCCAGAACCGGCGGGCCCAGTTGGACCTGAGGCGGCGAACGGGACAGCGCCGAGCCGACGGGAAGCGTCGTGACGCTCGCCGTCACCGGGAGAGTTTTAGTCAGAGCGCCGGCGGCGTCCTGAGGCAGGAAGGGAGGGATTTCTGAGAGGAGAAGAAGAAACGTCAAGATGGAGACAATCAGATTATTACAATGATCATAATCAGATTATTACAATGATCATAATCAGATTATTACAATGATCATAATCAGATTATTACAATGATCATAATCAGATTATTACAATGATCATAATCAGATTATTACAATGATCATAATCAGATTATTACAATGATCATAATCAGATTATTACAATGATCATAATCAGATTATTACAATGATCATAATCAGATTATTACAATGATCATAATCAGATTATTACAATGATCATAATCAGATTATTACAATGATCATAATCAGATTATTACAATGATCATAATTAGATTATTACAATGATCATAATCAGATTATTACAATGATCATAATCAGATTATTACAATGATCATAATCAGATTATTACAATGATCATAATCAGATTATTACAATGATTATAATCAGATTATTACAATGATCATAATCAGATTATTACAATGATTATAATCAGATTATTACAATGATCATAATCAGATTATTACAATGATCATAATCAGATTATTACAATGATCATAATCAGATTATTACAATGATCATAATCAGATTATTACAATGATCATAATCAGATTATTACAATGATAATAATCAGATTATTACAATGATCATAATCAATTATTACAATGATCATAATCAGATTATTACAATGATCATAATCAGATTATTACAATAATCATAATTAGATTATTACAATAATCATAATCAGATTATTTCAATGATCATAATCAGATTATTACAATGATCATAATCAGATTATTACAATGATCATAATCAGATTATTACAATGATCATAATCATTATTACAATGATCATAATCAGATTATTACAATGATCATAATCAGATTATTACAATGATCATAATCAGATTATTACAATGATCATAATTAGATTATTACAATGATCATAATCAGATTATTACAATGATCATAATCAGATTATTACAATGATCATAATCAGATTATTACAATGATTATAATCAGATTATTACAATGATCATAATCAGATTATTACAATGATCATAATCAGATTATTACAATGATCATAATCAGATTATTACAATGATCATAATCAGATTATTACAATGATCATAATCAGATTATTACAATGATCATAATCAGATTATTACAATGATCATAATCAGATTATTACAATGATCATAATCAGATTATTACAATGATCATAATCAGATTATTACAATGATCATAATCAGATTATTACAATGATCATAATCAGATTATTACAATGATCATAATCAGATTATTACAATGATCATAATCAGATTATTACAATGATCATAATCAGATTATTACAATGATCATAATCAGATTATTACAATGATCATAATCAGATTATTACAATGATCATAATCAGATTATTACAATGATCATAATCAGATTATTACAATGATCATAATCAGATTATTACAATGATCATAATTAGATTATTACAATGATCATAATCAGATTATTACAATGATCATAATTAGATTATTACAATGATCATAATCAGATTATTACAATGATCATAATCAGATTATTACAATGATCATAATCAGATTATTACAATGATCATAATCAGATTATTACAATGATCATAATCAGATTATTACAATGATCATAATTAGATTATTACAATGATCATAATCAGATTATTACAATGATAATAATCAGATTATTACAATGATCATAATCAGATTATTACAATGATTATAATCAGATTATTACAATGATCATAATCAGATTATTACAATGATTATAATCAGATTACTACAATGATCATAATCAGATTACTACAATGATCATAATCAGATTACTACAATGATCATAATCAGATTATTACAATGATCATAATCAGATTATTACAATGATCATAATCAGATTATTACAATGATCATAATCAGATTATTACAATGATCATAATCAGATTATTACAATGATCATAATCAGATTATTACAATGATCATAATCAGATTATTACAATGATCATAATCAGATTATTACAATGATCATAATCAGATTATTACAATGATCATAATCAGATTATTACAATGATCATAATCAGATTATTACAATGATCATAATCAGATTATTACAATAATCATAATCAGATTATTACAATGATCATAATCAGATTATTACAATGATCATAATCAGATTATTACAATGATCATAATCAGATTATTACAATGATCATAATCAGATTATTACAATGATCATAATCAGATTATTACAATGATCATAATCAGATTATTACAATGATCATAATCAGATTATTACAATGATCATAATCAGATTATTACAATGATCATAATCAGATTATTACAATGATCATAATCAGATTATTACAATGATCATAATCAGATTATTACAATGATCATAATCAGATTATTACAATGATCATAATCAGATTATTACAATGATCATAATCAGATTATTACAATGATCATAATCAGATTATTACAATGATCATAATCAGATTATTACAATGATCATAATCAGATTATTACAATGATCATAATCAGATTATTACAATGATCATAATCAGATTATTACAATGATCATAATCAGATTATTACAATGATCATAATCAGATTATTACAATGATCATAATCAGATTATTACAATGATCATAATCAGATTATTACAATGATCATAATCAGATTATTACAATGATCATAATCAGATTATTACAATGATCATAATCAGATTATTACAATGATCATAATCAGATTATTACAATGATCATAATCAATTATTACAATGATCATAATCAGATTATTACAATGATCATAATCAGATTATTACAATGATCATAATCAGATTATTACAATGATCATAATCAGATTATTACAATGATCATAATCAGATTATTACAATGATCATAATCAGATTATTACAATGATCATAATCAGATTATTACAATGATCATAATCAGATTATTACAATGATCATAATCAGATTATTACAATGATAATAATCAGATTATTACAATGATCATAATCAGATTATTACAATGATCATAATCAGATTATTACAATGATCATAATCAGATTATTACAATGATTATAATCAGATTATTACAATGATAATAATCAGATTATTACAATAATTATAATCAGATTATTACAATCCTGTCTTCTCTCATAAAAGTTTCTTTTTGATGAGTTTTATATCTGGTAAACTGAAAGTTGATCATTTTCAAATAAATTTGATCTCATAGTGCAAAAGTTTCCAGTTTTATAAAATTTTTATGTTTCACCATCAGGTGAAATTTTCTCATTCCAAACAAAATTTACCTGAATTTATGTCCAACTTCATCTTCTAAGCACGTTCATAGCATCCAGTCTAAAGTTAAATTTGATGAATATGAATGTAGTTGGGTGTCTTACCGCCGCTCTCCACCAGGATGTCGAACAAGTCATCCATGTGCTGGCTGGTTGCCGTGGGAACCTGAAAAAAACAAAACACATTTATTCGTCCAAACCGACGTTTGGACCAGAACCAGAACCGAGGAAGTGGACCCAAGTCTGGGTCAATAAAAACATGACAATGAATGAATGAATGGATGAATGGATGGATGGATGGATGGATGAATGGATGGATGAATGGATGGATGGATGATGAATGATGATGGATGGATGATGGATGGATGGATGATGGATGATGAATGGATGGATGGAATGGATGGAATGGATGAATGGATGGATGAATGGATGGATGAGAATGATGGATGGATGGATGGAATGATGGATGAATGGATGATGAATGATGGATGGATGAATGGATGGATGGATGGATGAATGGATGATGGATGAATGGATGATGGATGAATGGATGGATGAATGGATGGATGGATGAATGGATGGATGAATGGATGGATGGAATGGATGGATGATGGATGAATGGTTGGATGATGGATGGATGATGGATGAATGATGGAATGGATGGATGAATGATGGATGGATGGATGAATGGATGGATGAATGGATGATGGATGGATGGATGGGAATGGATGATGGATGAATGAATGGATGAATGGATGAATGGATGGATGGATGGATG